CTCCAGTGCTTATAAATATTGTGAGAGGATCCACTCAACTGCTAAAGGCAGAAAATCTGACTTCTTGGCTGGATGCCTATTTTAAAGTAAAGCACAGAGTCAGTTAACTTGACATCTGCATTATATTCGTCTGCTTACTGTGGAGTCAGTTAGTCACTTGCAAAAATCATAAAGGGGCTTGTTTGCAAGTGTGGAACGTGGTTTTTTTCCCAGTCAAGTTAAAGGGGGCTGGAAATGTTCATTCTTTTGAAAATCAGGCCTTTTCAGTTTGTGCCTTAGCTCCTTTATCTGTAAAATTAGGTTGTAAAGTTTGCTCACCTCTGCGAAGGGCTTCAAGATTCATACATGAAAAGCACTACGTCAGTAGTTGGGCACAGTAGTTAGATAGTTGAGCATGAGAGCAGGTAGTTCATGCATTGCTTAAAAATGAAAGAAGTGCAAGTGTGAAGAATCTCTTTGAGGCCAAGTTGGAGAAGAGGTCTGAAAAAGTCAAAGGAAGGTTATAAACTTCCATCATTCTTCCTAAGAACAAAAAAGTTAAACCAAAGTTTGTACTTAACTATTTTCTTCCCTTCCTGACAGTGCTGCTCTTCACTGTGGTGAAATTGAGGTACTGTGGCTCTCCTGATTCTCCTGTGAAACTGATTCATTTCACATGTCATTTTCCATGGTTTATGTTTTCTTTTCACCTTTAGAATTACCAATAGAGGCTGATCAACATGAAGATGGAAAGAAGGAGTGCTACTACAATCTGAATGATGCTAATTTCTGTGACAATGTGCTTACATCCAATGTAACCAAACAAGAATGCTGCTGTACCTTGGGTGCTGGCTGGGGTGATAACTGTGAAATCTTCCCCTGCCCTGTCTTTGGAACTGGTAAGAGGTGGCCTTCTGTCTCTTGGCAAACTTTTGAAGCATTGTGTTTATGTTAACAGTAATCTGCTTTGCCTTCAGAGAAGGCTTGCCCATTAAATCCCATATTCTTTAGTATTTAGTCATGACTTATCCACGGGAGATTTCCATGGAGGAAAAGTTAATAGGAATAATACATACCTGGTGTAAATCCATTGGCTTCACTGCAGTTACCCTAGGGATAAAAACAGCCTGTTACTGAACAGCATTATCTCCAACTTATTTTAAACAAAGATGGATTCCCACAGAAGCTTTTTCCAGGTGCTATGGTAACATGTTAGATTTTTCCCGCAAGCTGGAAAACAAAGGTAAATATTACAGTGTTTTTGAATCTGCAGCTATGCTTCATAATGTTGTTTCCACAGCACTACGAATTACTGATATATATTATGACATTAGTTTTACTTTTTGCTACTTACTGAACAATACAGTTAATCTTGTTGTCTGCAGACCATTGTTTAACCTCTAAATATCAAATCTGAAAAATGTAACCATGTGATATTTGTCACAAATATTGAAAACAGTACTTGAAACATAAACAGTGATGACTGAAATTCAGAATCCAGCTGGAAAAAATCACGTAAAAGAGACCGTGTAGACTTTTTGAGATTAAACAGTAAAGACTACTTGTCCCATAAATGTATCATCATGCTTAATTCCTGTTTTAACTATATTTTAGAATCAGTGAAACTGAAATGAAATGAGTTACAAAAAGAGCCTCTCTGCTTGGATAGGTTTATTTGATTCTGTATAGTCTTCCAAGACACTTTAAATAATTTCCCTCTGTAATCCACACTATGTTCTCCTGTTGCAGTCAATTAGTGTTTTTCCTGTTAAGGACTGAAAAATGTGGACAGGGGTTTGTATCTCAGTTGGGGTATGTCTAGATTGCAGCTTGCAGTATAGCTCAGAGAGGCCCAGGCTAGCTTTAATTAATATAATTTGGCTACTGCTATTGTTGTAACTGCAGTGCCCCATGAAACCCAGTAAGGACTACATTTTCCTGCCAAGGAGCAAGAGAAATTAGTTTGCGTGGAGCTCTGTGATGCTGTGGGTACCCTAGCCAGGTTTTTCAAACCTAGCTGTGCAAACTGAGAGCAGGGGAAAGTCTGGCTGTAGCATTAGCATCCCCCATTGAGCTGAAGGTGTGCATGATTGCCTGATAGATGTGAATAAGGCAAAACTTTGCCTCAGATTTCTCAAAATACTCTGAAACACATATGTAACGTGCATATGTGAGTAACTGCTTCTTAACGACACAGTATTTTTGTCTTCTCTCTCTCCTAGCTGAATTTACTGATTTGTGTCCTGAAGGAAAAGGTTTCATTCCCTCTGGAGAATCGTCTTACGGCCTTCTTGCTCAGAATTACAAAGGTCAGTACTGACTTGTATTAAGTTTATTTCAGAAGTTCTGGTAGTTGACTGACTAGAAATGTGAGCCAGTAATGTAAACATACTAATTCAAATTTTATTAGGTGACAAAAACAGCTTGTGATATGAAACGTTACTGAAAATCATCATTTGACAGATTGTTAAGAATGTCAATTATGCAGTCTCTGTAATATTCTGATTTAATTTATACTAAGTGCTATATACTGTGAGAGTAGGTACTGAGACCACAAATCTTAAATACTCATTTACATATGAAATGCAAAGCCACCTTAAATTTGTAAATAAATGTATGGGGAGTTGGGAGAGAGAAAAAAAAAGGTCTGTTAAACATTAGACTTACAAGTGAGAATGAATATAAAAACTGAAGAGAAGTTCAGCAATGATGGTTTTATTACAAAACTCTATGAAATAAGCATTGAACAAAAGATTGTAGAGAAATGTGAGTGACAGAAGGGGTTTGTGGGTGTGGGCGGGAGGGAGTTGGCATCATTAAGAAGGAAGAGCGAGATTGGCAAAATTCCTTTTCAAGTTTCAGAAGTAGCCATCAATATTAATAATTTGTGGAATTAATTTTACTTGGCATAAACACACCGTATTTGTGTTAGCTAAAATGAAGTCAATGTATTATCTCTGGGTTACATAGCAGCTACAGGATCTTCAGAAAAGCACACTCATTTCATATATGTGTTACTATTGGAATTGCTGGTTTACAAATCAAGAACTACATGTAGAAAGTACTGTGTGTTCATATCACATAAAAATGCAGTAAAATTTACTATTTTTAAAAGACCTTAATAGAGGCATAGTATCACATTGTTGGTAGGTAAGCATTTGTCAGAGTTGCTTCTAGCTAAATCACTAATCTGTCAGACCTAATTCTGAGAGATGACAAAAATTGGTGGGACTTAAAAGATTTTTGGGTTTTTTCCTAACGATTGTCACATGTACTTTTTCAAACTGTCCTTCCTCACTGACTAGGACACTACTAGGTTGGTTTTCCTATTGAGTTAGTGAGCAGACCATGGCTGAGTTCAGTCCTCTGTCCTACTAATACCTTTTTGTGTTATCCTCAGCAGGTGTTTCTTTGCACCTGGAAAGTGCATGGGACATAGAGGAGATACTAAAGATTGTAACGCACTAATACCCAGATTCATTCAAACTAACGTGGGCATTTAAATGGGGTAACTCACATAAGACCTCCACTCTCTGGAGGTGTCGCTTTGTCCACCAACTTGGAGGAAAGAACAAAGTGCCGTGGGATGAATCCAGACCTGAGACTGATGGTAGCAGGGACCGGTGTTGGACAGACTGACAATTTACATCTAGACAAGTCAGAACACTGTCACAGAGCTCATCTTAAAGGACCTAATGCTCTCTGAGAGTATTTTTATTCAGGGATTGTTTAAGTATGTTGTTTACCTTTGCAGATCTAAGATTTCTGTATATCTTTGCAATGTAGATTTGGGACATGCTGTGTGTACAGTATGTCCAAATGTGTCTCAGAGAAAATGTGCATTGTTTTTGTTGCGCTACCTCAGAGTTGATAATATCTCTAGCTGCCATAAATATTGAACTGTGGAAATAGTTCATCTGGAAATATCTTCCACAAATCCTTGCCATAATGAGACTTTTTCTGTTTTCAAAAAGTTTATTTTGTAATAACCGTAGGAATGGCACAAAGGACAAACAATAAATGGACAAGTACTTTTAGTAATGTAATCTTCCTCTGTTACACTAACTGGTATGTTCCTGTTGCTTTTGTCCACAAGCTTGTGCTTGTAGGAGCAACTCCTGTTTTCTTAATTGGAATTATCTGTCAGAAGTGAATATACTCAGCTAGCCTTCCTTGACTCTACTCCCAGGCTTTCCCATTTTTCCCCCAGACACAAATCTATGTTCCACAGGAAACAGACAGACATGTACATGATATATCGTATTAATCTTTGCATTGTTCTTGCTGCTAAACAGTCAAACTTAAAATATTTGATGTTAGAAGCCACTTAGTGGCTGGAGGAGTGGCTGTAAAATAAATAGCTTTATAGCACTTTCAGTCCTTCTGGAAAAAGTAAGCATTTGAATAATTCACCTTTAAAACTGCTGTACAGCTGGAAATTTTGGGTTAAAATCTGTGTTACCCCAGAATAAATGGGGAGTAAATTTATAGAAGACAGTGGATTAAGACAGTAGCTATTGAGAGGAGAATCACCTACTTTACACTGTGCTTTTTATTGCCATTTTTAATACCAGCCTAGCTTTAACAGACTATTCTAGGTAGGTCTAGCAAATGAAAAGTAGGTTGGAAAAAAGGAAGTGAATGGAATTCCAACAGTAACAAATACATAAGTACAAGACTGGGGAAAAATGTGTACAGAAAGCTATGAAAAGCTATGTATGAGCTGGCATATATTTTCCAGGAAACCTCCCTTAAAACATTTAGCCTCATTTGAAAGTGTGGTAGAGTCTCTTTGTCAGCTCTCACTAGGTCTACAGAAGTTGCAGCCTTACATGTAGCAACAGGCACAATTGTTCCTACGTGGTGGAATTCTCCACAGAAGCTGTGCGTATAGCTTTGAAAAATGAAGTCACAAGCAGTGTGGATATGAAGATTCCCTACCATGCACAGCAGAGTCACCAAACTGTGTGGAGAGAGGAGAGCAGTGACAAAGGCCATCCATATGCATAACTGCTTAGTTAGTTTTGTAATTAGATGGTGTGATTAAATTAGAATCATAGAATCATTTAGGTTGGAAAAGACCTT